GTGGAGGCAGGTGCAGGCGATGAGAGCAGAGTGAGTGTGCCTGGTGGAGTGCGTGGTGGTGTGCTTGGCGCGCAGGAGGAGGTTCAAGAAGGCTCTCCTGTCGCTCTCTGCTTCTTAGACGTGCGCAGGCCCCCGGAGGAGGAGGGGGAGGAGGAGGAGGAGGAGGATGCAGTTCTGCGGGCAGAAGAGGGGGCGGAGGGTGGGCGTGGGGTTGTAGCGAGTGCAGAGGAAGGCACGCAAATCGGAGGTGCGGAATGGGCAAGGGGGGAGGAACGAGGTGGTGGTGGTACGAGTGGAGTGAAGGGCTTAGCAGGGGGGTTGGTGAGAGGCAGGAGAGAGGAAGCCGGGGTGCGAGTTGAGGAGGTCTTGCATTTGAGAAGAGCGGAAGAGAGAGAGGAGCGATGCGAGGTGCACGGGCAGGGCAGGGGAGATATGGCCGGGCAGGACAGGGGTTACTCTGAAGGCTGGCCTGGCAAAGCAGCAGCACTGGGGCAAGGCATGGTTGCAGCACGGGGAGGGTGGGGGGAGACGTCTGTAGAGGGTACACAGGGGGGAAGCGGGGAAGCTGGTGATGGGGGACGAGGGAGGGGGAAGAGGGCGCGAGACGAGGGACAGAGGAGCGAGGAGAAGGCTGCAAAAACGCAGACATGGAGAGGTGGGAGTAGAGAGATAAGCATGGGTGTACATGGGGGCATGCTTGCAGGAGGGAGATTTGAGATGGGTGGCGAGGGGGAAAGTGTGCATGCCAGAAGAAGGGTGCATGGAAAGAAGGCAGCACCATACGACACCAGAAGGGGGCCAGAGGCAGAGCAAGAGCAAGAGGCGCAAGCAGTGGGTGCAGCGGGTGCAGCGGGAACAGTGGGTGCAGCGAGTGCAGCGGGTGCAGCCCCCACGCGCTTCACCAGCAAAGAGGGCGCTGCACTGGATGAGCAGGGCCAGAGAATAGACGTGCTCCTCCCATCACAGCTCCCCCCATCACAGCTCCCCCCATCACAGCTCCCCCCATCACAGCTCCCCCCACCACAGCTCCCCCCACCACAGAGACATCTGCCTGCTGCATCTCCCCCCAGTGGTGCCCATACCCGCCCAGTGACTGTTACTCCGTCCCCGTCGCGCCCACCATGCCTGGTGCCAGCTCACACTCTCCACGACCTCATGGTGATCCGCGCGCTGCACTCGTCTCTGCTGCGCCTGCCGCGCCACTCCCTGGGCACGGCCCTGGGCATGCGGACCAAAGAAGGGCAGCTCACCTCCATCCCTGCGATAATTGTGTTTGTCTCGTGTAAAGTGCACCGGTTCTGGGTGCCGGACGGCCAGATGCTGCCACGTCAGCTTGTGGGCCCCACAGGAACGGTGTGTGACGTGGACGTGGTTGAATTCTGCTACACGGATGCCCCTGCTGCTGCTGCCACGTACGCTGCCCAAGCGTCCCCTCCCTCTTCTGCTACCCCTTCTCCCCCTCCTTCTACCTCTGCTGACCCACATGGGGAGATAGGCGTTGCCGTCACGGCTGCTGCTGCTGGTGCTGGTGCTGGTGCTGCCGCTGGTGCTGGTGTTGCTGACCCAGACCTGAGCAGAGAGCCAGGGTGGAGCACAAGGGAAGGCACGAGAGGGGCAGGCGCGGGGCACAGGAGATCCGGGCGCAGCAGAAGATCAGCAGCAGCGGCAGCGGCAGTGGTGGAAGAACTGAAAGGCGGCGCAGGGGACGTGGGGCCAGGGTCACAAGTAGCAAGCGAGGGCACGTACGGTACGCTGACCGCCGTAGTGGTGAGCACGCGGGGCGAGCGTGCAGTGGGAGTGCTGACGAACCGGCATGTTGCAGTGGACTTTAACCAGCCTCGCCAGGCGCTGCATCACCCGCTGCCGCCTAGTCGGGGCCCGGGTGTGCTGCTGGGGATGGTGGAGCGGGCGGCGTCGTTTACTTCGGACAGCGCGTGGTACGGCATGTTCGCCACGCCTAACACTGGTGAGTGTGCACGTGTGGGGGGTACGGAGAAGCTAGTGGTTTTCTATCACGTGGGGATGGTGGAGCGGGCGGCGTCATTTACCTCGGACAGTGCGTGGTACGGCATGTTCGCCACGCCCAACACTGGTGAGTGCGTGTGTGGGGGGCGGTACAGGGGATTTGGTGGGGTTCTGAGCGCTGTTATCACATGCTGCAGGGGCTTGTGGAGTGGGCAGTGACGTTTACCTCGGACAGCGTGTGGTACGGCATGTTCGCCACGCCTAACACTGGTGAGTGTGCACGTGGGGGGTACGGGGAAATGGTGGTGTGAGACGCTCGCCCTTAACACATGCCGCATTCTCTTACCACATGCCGCGTTCTCTTATCACATGCCATTTGATCACATGCAACACGCGCTCATCAGAAGCCGCTCCCTCGTGTCAAATGCGACATGCGCTTACTACATGTTGCATGCGCTTATCACATGCCGCACGTGCTTATCGCTAGCCGCATGGTCTTATCACATGACACACACTCTTATCCCATGCCACACACTCTTATCCCATGCCACACACTCTTATCCCATGCCATTCACTCTTATTCCATGCCACACACTCTTATCCCATGCCACACACTCCTATCCCATGCCACACACTCTATCCCATGCCACACACTCTATCCCATGCCACACACTCTATCCCATGCCACACACTCTATCCCATGCCACACACTCTTATCACAAGAAGGGCACGCATTTGCCGCATGCTTGTAGACACACCACACGCTCTTATCACATCCAGCACGTGCTTATCACATACCACATGCTCTTATCGCTAGCTGCATGCTCTTATCAAATTCCACATGCCACACCCTCCCATCGCTTCCAGCACACGCGCCTGTCAAATGCTGCACACTCTGATTGCATACCTTGCACTCTGGTCATGTGTCTCATTCTCTTTTCACATGCCACACTCACTTAGCACAAGTCGAGCGCTTTTATCACATGCAGCATGCTCTTATCAAATGCCACACCCTCTTATTACATGAATCGCAAGCTTATCACATTTCGCATGCTCTTATGACATGTCACGCGCTCTTATCACATGTTGCTTGCTCTTATCACATGTCACACGCTCTTATCACAACCCACACGCTCTGACTACATGCCACACTTACTTATCATATGAAGCACGCCATTTTCACATGTCGCATGCTCTTAACACAAGCTATTATTCATAATAGCTTTCACATTCCCTGTTCTCACATGAATCACGCGCTTAACATGTGCTGCATGCTATAATCACATGCATCACACTCTTATTAGCTGCAGCATACGCTTATCACATGCCACGCGCCCTTTTCACTTGCTGCACACTCTTATCACATGCAGCACTCTATTTTCACATGCCACTCGCTCATATCACATTCAGCACATTCTTAGTATATGCCACACGCCCTTATCACTTATGCAACACCTCTGTATCACATACTGCACAATCACAATCTTATCGTAAGCTGTAACACCTCTGCTTTGTTGACGCCCGCTGCATGCCCTTGTAACACACTGCCCGCTCTTGTAACACACTGCCCGTTCTTATTACATACTGCCCGCTCTTATTACCCACAGCCCGCTCTTATTACACACTGCCTGGTCTTATTTATCACTGCCCACTGGTATTACACACTGCCCACTCTTATTACGCCCTCTTATTACACACTGCCCGATATTATTGTGCACTGCCCACTCTAATTGCACGTTGCCCGCTCTTATTACGCACTGCCCGCTCTTAATACGCAATGCCCGCTCTTATACATACTGCCCGCTCTTATTACATACTGCATGCCCTTACTCCACATTGTACGCTCTTACTACACACTTCATGCTCTTATTACACACTGCACACTCATATTACATGCTTCATTGTCTTTTCACACACTGCGCGCTCCTATTACACCCTTCATGCTCATATTACACACTACACGCCCTTATGTACTTCATGCCGTTATTCCACAATGTACGCTCTTATTATACACCGCAAGCTCTTATTACACAAACTTTATGCTCTTATTAGACACTGCACACTCTTACTACACACTGCCTGCTCTTATTACACATTGTGCATTCTGATTACACACTTCGTGCTCTTATTACACGCTGCACGCTCTTATTACTAGGTGCGCGCCCTAACTACATCCTTCAAGCTCTTTTGACGTGCAGTGCGCCCTAATTACATCATGCAGTCAATTCTCACATCCTGCAAGTTCTTACACATGCTGCACGCTTTTATTGCACACTGCACGCCGTTATACAAACACTGCACGTTCTTATTAGGTGCTGCGCACTCGATTTACATGGTGCAAGCCCTAGTTACATACTGCATTATATTCTCACATACCGCTACATGGTCAAAGCCCTAACTACATTTTTGTGAGCTGTTTTTCAATTATGCACGCCCTAATCACATACTGCAAGATCTTCTCACATACCGCTCGCATTTGTCACATGCCACACACTGTTATCACATGCCGCACACTCTTATTACATGCTGCGGGCCCCTCGGTACATACTGCACAGTCTTAATACACATGCATGCTCTTTTGTGCATGCCGTGCGTCCTTATTACTCGCTGCACGCTGTGCCTTGGCCGTCCTCTCATCACTTCCAGACGCCATACTTGCAGGCCCCTTTTCCCTTCCCCTCCTCCCTTCTCCGTTCTCTCTCCCCTCTCCCCTCCCCGCTCCGCCCATGCATGTGCAGAGGCGTACGTGCGAGTGGATGCAGCGTTTGTGCCGCTGCACCAGTCGCTGGACACAAGCAGCATCACACCACTGGTCCCCTTTCCCCTTCCTCCTCCCTTCCCCCCCCCCTCCCCTCCCCTCTCTTCCCCCTGGCCCATGGATCCACAGAGGCATACGTGCGAGTGGATGCAGCGTTTGTGCCGCTGCACCAGTCGCTGGACACAAGCAGCATCACACCACTGGTCCCCTTTCCCCTTCCTCCTCCCTTCCCCCCCCCTACCCTCCCCCCTCTTCCCCCTGGCCCATGGATCCACAGAGACATACGTGCGGGTGGATGCAGCGTTTGTGCCACTGCACGGGTCGCTGGACACGAGCATCATCACGCCACACCTGCGCGGGCTGGGCGCCATGGGTCAGCCCTGCGCCATCTCGCTGCATGACGCCATCGGATCCCTCATCAACCGCCCCGTCTGCAAGGTTATGCACGCTGCCATGCCATGCCATGCCATGCCATGCCATGCCATGCCATGCCATGCCATGCCATTCCATGCCATGCCATGCCATGCCATTCCATGCCATGCCATGCCATGCCATGCCATGCCATGCCATGTCATGCCATGCCATGCCATGCCCTAGCATGCCATGCCATGCCATGCCATGCCATGCCATGCCATGCCATGCCATGCCACGCCATGCCCATGCCATGCCATGCCATGCCATGCCATGCCATGCCATTCCATGCCATGCCATGCCATGCCATGCCATGCCATGCCATGCCATGCCATCCCATGCCATGCCATGCCATGCCATACCATGCCATGCCATGCCATGCCATGCCATGTCATGCCATGCCATGCCATGCCATGCAATGCCATGCCCTGCCACACCATGCCTTACCATGCCATGTCATGCCATGCCATGCCATGCCCTCCCATGGCATGCACTTGACACACACCAGTTTTGCTACACTGTGTGGCCAAGGAAGGCATTGCTTGCAGCCTCACAAGCATACCGCTCACTATGTGTGGAACATTGCCAAACATTGAGCTCACCCGTCTCATGCCATTTCCCGTACTTCAACGCCCCATACCACCCCCTACCCAACCCCTCCCTTCTCTTTCCCCCTTCAATTTAGTTATCCCCTCCTTCCTGTGCGCCACACCCCCTCCTCACACTACCCTCCCCGTCTCCCATCTGAATCCCCAAGTGTATTCTTCCTACATACACTCTTTCTCTTCCTCTCCAGTTTCTTCGCTTCCGTCACCACCTCCTCCCTCCCCACCCTCCCCCTCCCTCCTCCCAGCACTACCCTCCTCAACGTGAGTCTCCTAGTAGACTGGCAGAACCACCCTGCGTACAGCGGCACTCACAACCCCTTACTCTCTGGCTCTCGCTCTCCCCGCCATTACTGCGACCCTCACGACCGCTGCGGCCCTGACGCAACGTCTTTTCTTTCTCCATCTCCTTTGCCTGGACACTTACCCGCCTTCATCTCGACTGCCCTTCCCGCGGCAGATAGGAGCGACGTCGGGCGTGACGCACGGGCGCATAATGGGGTATGCGGTGGAATATAACGACAATCGCAGCCGTACGCTTTTCACCGACTTTCTCATTCTCGGCGAGCAAGGGCAGCCGTTCGATCAGGAGGGCGACAGCGGCAGCCTCATCCTGGCAATGCCGAACCGTGAGGGGGATTCGATGGACGGCCGTGATCGCACGGATGGCGACAATGTGCTTCGGCCAATCGGCGTGATTTGGGGGGGCACAGCGAATCGCGGGCGGCTGAAACTGCGGCGGGGACATGTTCCGGAGAACTGGACAAGTGCGGTGGATGTGGGGAGATTATTGCGACTGCTTGACTTGCGAATGATCACGACATCGGAAGAATTGAGAGGTAACGTTTGGTTGTTACATTTTGCATCTATCTGCTTTTTTTGCGTTTTGCAAATCCAGATTCAACTAGCAGATTCTTGATTGACCTGCGTTTTTTCTTCGATGCAGCTTTGCTGGAGCACCCCAATGCATTTTCCACTGGTGTTCAGGACTTCAGCATGCAGAGAATGTCTTGAATGTATGGAAACCTCACATTTTAAATTTCTTCTGTTCGTTGTGTATCATCAGCACTTGTAATGCATTTGTCGTAAGTGCTTGTTGGAAAAGAGCGATGAAATGATGCTTTCTGCGGACATACAGATGTTGTTGAGTCCAAGAAGTTGCGTAATAGAGTGAGGGATGTTCACAGTCTCTCCCGAATGCTCTGCTCATAGTGTTAAAATAGTAGGCACGATGAGGAGCCATAGCTAGGGTTTACCTAGCTAGGCAAGAGAGAAATGAGCAAAGGAGGAGGTTCACTAGCAAGCAGGAGGATACATATAGGAAACCCTAAGGGGTTGTACTCGCTATAGAGTACCCCACTGCAGGCTAGAGAATAATAACATTCTGACACACCCCCATAGTCAAAGTGGGGTATAATCAGCAGAGCAAGCAGTCATAGAGCAGGTTCACAAGCACAAGCAAAGCTAGAGGCAGTCACACAGGGCAAGTGAGGAGGAGGAGTGACTGTGAGAGGAGAAGAGATGGGAGGCGACTGCTGAAGCTGCAGACACACGGGCCACAGGAGCGGCTGGCTCAGTTGCTACCGGAGCAAGGGCCCCGGACTACAGGAGTAACAGGCTCAGACAGGAGCAACGGACCCACGGGCGACAGGCGCAGCAGGCTCTCTGGGCTACCAGCGGCAAGGGCCCCGGACTACAGGCGCTGCGGACGACAAGACTGCTACCTCCACTCAACCTCCCCCAACTGTCCCACACCCCTTTCACACACCCCTTGCTGCACCCCTAGCTCCACTCCCACGTCACCCCCCTAGCACCACTCCTTCGGCTCCCACACACCCACCCCCCTCAGCGACAGCTGCAGCAGTGGGAGACGGAGGCGGAGGAGGAGTAAGGGACGGCGCACACACCCTGCACCTTCATAACCGCCACCCCCACACTCGCCACCCCCAAACCCTAAAACGGGTGGCACGGGGCAGGAGCGCGGGGGACGGCGCGCGGCCCCCAGGGCGCCGCGACGGGGCAGCGGGGGGCCGCGCGCGGCTCCCCAGGGCGCCGCGACGGGGCAGCGGGGGGTCGCGCGCGGCTCTCAGGGCGGCGCGACGGGGTTGCGGGGCGACGCGACCGTCGACGGGGCAGCGGGGGGTCGCGCGCGGCTCCCCAGGGCAGCGCGACGGGGTTGCGGGGCGACGCGACCGTCGACGGGGCAGCGGGGGGTCGCGCGCGGCTCCCCAGGGCAGCGCGACGGGGCTGCGAGGCGACGCCACCGTCGACGGGGCAGCGGGTGGCCGCGCGCGGCTCCCTAGGGCAGCGCAACGGGGTTGCGGGGCGACGCGAGAAGAAGGCAGAAAGCCGCCGCGCGCCTCGGGGCGCACGGCGGGCAGAAAACCGCCGCGCGCCACGAGCGCGTGGCGGGATGAAAAAGTGTCGCATGCCAGGGGCGCGCGACCAGCAGAACAGTAGCAGCGGAAGCAGTAGGCGAGCCCACAGGCCAGGAGCATAAATGCTCTGATACCATGTTAAAATAGTAGGCACGATGAGGAGCCATAGCTAGGGTTTACCTAGCTAGGGAAGAGAGAAATGAGTAAAGGAGGAGGTTCACTAGCAAGCAGGAGGATACATATAGGAAACCCTAAGGGGTTGTACTCGCTATAGAGTACCCCACTGCAGGCTAGAGAATAATAACATTCTGACATATAGCAATCAACGAGCTACATTATTGTCAAATGTTATAGCCTCTAGTGGGTTATGCTATATGGGGTACAAACAGTTAGGGTTAGGCATTTGTACCCCAGCCCAATGCAATCCAATCATTCCGCTGTTTTCACTTTGTGAGATCATATCAGCAGTACTTTCGCTGTTCCTAGGCCACACATAGTCTCCGCCCTTCCTAAACTTAGGGTACATTCCTGTGTCGACATTTGTGTCTCAATCACTTTGTGACACCCAAAAACAGCCTAAACTATATTGTGTCACAATTGCGAGTCGTGTTTCTGCGACATGTACTGTATTTTTAATTGGTCAGCGTGAAACGCGCTGACGTCGCGGACGAGTTGTAAATTGACCCGTCAATTTCAAAAAAGTCACTCGCGGTCCAAAATGTCAATGTATCTGGACATTCCCACAATGACAATTCCGCGCGGGAAAAAAATCCGCGCGTCAAAACCACACCCCAGCCAAGCGTTTGACGAAACTGGTGTACACTCATTTCCGAAACCCAATCAGATGCACACAACTGTATTTTTCGCCTGATCGCCTAGTGTCGCGATACATCCAATGTTTGAGACGCGACATTGAAAAAATGTGTAGACGCGACTCGGGAAATAGGGCATTGAGACATTTGTGTCTACATAGGAATGTACCCTTAGTCTCTTGTCTTGGTGCCCCCCCCCCCCGTTTGCCCTAAACGCCCTAGCCAGCAGGCCCGCCAGCGCCCTAGCCAGCAGGCCCGCCAGCGCGCCACGCCAGCGCGCCCCGCCAGCCCGCACGCCAGCGCGTACGCCATCGCGCCCCGCCAGCGCGCACGCCAGCGCGCCCCGCCAGCGCCCCCCACCAGCACGCACGCCAGCGCGCCCTGCCAGCGCGCCCACCAGCGCGCACGCCAGCGCGCCCCGCCAGCGCGCACGCCAGCGCGCACGCCAGCGCGCCCCGCCAGCGCGCCCCGCCAGCGCGCACGCCAGCGCGCCCCGCCAGCGCGCACGCCAGCGCGCCCCGCCAGCGCGCACGCCAGCGCGCCCACCAGCGCACACGTCAGCGCGCACGCCACCGCGCCACGCCACCGCGCCACGGGCGCCGCTCGCCGGCCAGCGCACCGCGCCGCCCGCCAGCCATCGCGTCGCGCCGCCCGCCTGGCCGCATGCTGCGCCACCTGCCCGCCTGCGCGCCTGCCCACACGCCACTGACTGTCTCACCCTCCCGCGGCTGGCAGCCGCGCTCTCCCACTTTCGCCCCTTATGGCGACCTCCCGAGTACTTCGCTTTGACCCTGAGGGGAGACCGATAGACTTTAGTACGTGGCTTACGCAGGCGCAGCGCCACCTTAAGAGCCAGCGGCAGGATGGCGTGCACCTGTTCGCACACGCGTCCGGTACTCAGACCGCTCCTCAGCAGCCTAGTCTGCTGCCCACTACCCAACCACCTACTCCTGAGCAGGAGGCCGAGTACCAGCGCCAGTTCCTCGCTCGCGACGTGTGGGAGTCTCGTGACGCCGCTGCCTGCCTCGCCCTGACCGACCTTCTCCCGCCGACAGAGGCAGTCCACTTCACTCAGGTCGAGTCTGCTGCAGATCTGTATAAGGCTATTGTTGATCGCTACTCCACTCCCTCCTCTGCTTCACTCAGTCGCCTCCTCGTCCCCTTTATCTACCCTGACCTCGCCTCCTTTGAGACTGTCTCTGACCTCGTTACCCACCTTCGCTCCCTTGACGCTCGCTTTCGCGCTGCTTGCACTGAGGACCAGCTTGCCCTTGCGCTGCCCCCTATGTGGCTCACTATTCACCGGCTAGTTACTTGCCTCCCTGACCGCCTAGCCACAGCCCGCGACGCGCTTCTTCTGAAGCACCCCACTGAGCTTACCATCGATCTTCTTGAGACTGCTCTCTCGAAGATCGAGAGTAACCTCCTCGCTGTTGCCTCTGCCTCTTCCGCGCCTCCTCCTCGTCTTTTTGAGGGGTGTGCGGTACCACAGCTTCCCACCTTCACTGCCTCCCTTGCCACCCCCGCGTCTTCTGCCTCTGAGGAGACGGCGGCTGTTTCTGTCTCTGGCGGACAGAAACGTGGCAAGGCCGGTAAGAAGGGCGGGAAGGGCGGCGGGGGTACTGGAGGTGGTGCGGGTAGTGGCGGTGGCGGTGGAGCAGGTGGTGGGAGTGGTGGTGGGGGTGGCTCGGGACCTGACGGCCCTCCTCTCGACGGTGGAGTTTTCACTGGTGGTGAGGGGTTCCAGCAGCAGCAGCAGCCGGCTTCTCAGCACCTGCCACCGCCCGGACAGCAGCAGCAGCGACAGGGCCAGCAGCAGCTCCCGCCACAGCCGCAGCCACAGCAGTGGGGCCCTTCACAGCATTGGGGCCCTCCGCAGCAGTGGAGGTCTGCGGGTCCCCCGAGCACTGGGCGCAATGCCGCCCCCTCCAGTCGGGGACCTCGCTTGGCTGGTCGCGACGTTGGTCGCTGTGAGTACTGGATCCTTATGGGTCCGCGACTCGTACTGTGGCCGCCCTGACCACTCTGCTGCACGCTGCTTCAGTCGTCTCGACGACCTCTACCGCTTGCACCACGGCCCCTCCGCTCCCCCGCCGCCACGCTGGGGGACACTTCTTGCTCGTGGTATCTCTGTTTTTGATATGACTATGGATGATGCTAGGTCTTATGCCACGTATGGTGATGTTGACCATTGTGCTCCTGGATCTGTGTACCTGCCTGTACCTATCATTGGATCTTTGCCTGTTGCTAGAGTAGGTGCTAGTGTAGGATCTTGTTTAGCTACTAGTACAGGTGCTCCCTCGGCGGACGCGTCTCTCTCCTTCACACTGGACTCAGGAGCGACGTAGTGCTTCTTTCGCGACCATACGACTCTCTCTCCACTACCTGCACCAGTCTCCATAGCACTGGCCGATCCCTCTTCGGGACCGGTCATTGCGACTCACGCCACTACGCTCCCGTGCCCAGCTGCTCCTTCCGGTTCCCTGACTGGCCTCCACGTTCCTACGTTCTCTAGGAACCTGGTTGGTGTGGGCCCCCTGGCGAGACAGCACGTCGGGGTCTGGGTTGAGCCTTCTGGTGACACCGCGGTCTGTGTGGACGGTGACACGTACGCCCCCTTGGCCACTTTTCGCCAGGAGCCGGGCTCCGGTCTGTACACCCTCCACACCGACCCCCGTCAGGTTCCTCCGTCCCACCAGGTAGCCGGGTCCAGTCAGGTTGCTGTGTCCGGTCTAGTTGCTGCGTCGTGCTCGTGTCGGTCGCTTGCCCACCCCTCCCTTGTCTGGCACCACCGCCTTGGTCACCCGTCCCTCCCTCGTCTCCGCGCTATGTCCAGTCAGCGTCTTGTCTTAGGCCTCCCCCGAGTCCTTCCGCCGCTCCCGCCGTCCCCAGCTCCTCCGAGCGGTCCTTGTGTCCAAGGTCGGCTGTGTGCCATCCCTCACTCCACCTCCCTTTGTCCGGCCACTGAGCTCTTCGAGACACTCCACTTAGACGTCTGGGGCCCCGCTCGCCGTCTTGGCCCTGAGCGGGAGAGTTTCTTTCTGGTGGTTTTTGATGATTACTCTCGGTACACCACCGTGTTCCCTTTGGCGAAGAAGTCCGACGTGACTTCTACGCTGATCCGGTGGCTGCTCGCCACCGAGAGTACTCGCCGTCGTCGTGTCAGTTGTCTCCACTCCGACCGTGGGGGTGAGTTTCGCTACGGCATTCTCGCTAGATTCTGTGCTGAGCAGGGCATCACCCAGTCCTGGACTCTTCCAGACTCTCCACAGCAGAATGGGGTTGCTGAGCGCCGCCTAGGCCTGGTCATGGAGATTGCCCGCACCTCCATGATCCACGCCCGCGCGCCCCATTTTCTGTGGCCCTACGTGGCTCGGTACACGGCTCACCAGTTGAACCTCTGGCCTCGCGTCTCACGGCCAGGGGCTTCACCGACAAGTTCCTGGACAGGGTCCCCTGGTGTTGCGTCGAGGTTTAGTGTCTGGGGCTGCTTGGCTCTTGTCCGCGACACCTCTGCGGACAAGATCTCACCTCGCGCCGTCCCCTGTGTCTTCCTTGGTTTCCTTGAGGACTCCTCTGACTTTACCTTTTACCACCCTCCCTCCCACCGGTTCTTTGACTCTCGTGACGTCCGTTTCGACGAGTCCGTCCCCTGGTACCCCTGTCGAGGTCTCCCGGTTCCCCCCCCTCCCCTCTTCCTGGCTCCAGCTCCTCCTCCTCCCGCCCCTGCTCCTCCGGTACCCCCCCCCCCCCCCCCCCCCTGTTCCCGCTCCGTCTGGTGTGTCTCACGCTACACCCCCCCCCCCCCCCCCCCCCTCGGTACCCCCCCAGGTCTCTCCTCCTTCCCCACAGTCTTCCTCCTAACCTCCGCAGCAGCCGTCAGCGCTTCCTTTACCGGCCACTGCGGACTCTGAGGGTGTTGGTGCTCGAAGTGAGGGCTCTGGCAGTGCTCGCTCAAAGGGTGCTGGCGTTGGAGCTGTTCGTGCACCTACAGGAGCCGCCCGTTCTGGGGGTGTTGGCGTTGGCGCTGAGCGTGCACCTGCCGCAGCTGCCCGTTCCGAGGGTGCTGGAGCTGGTGGTGGTGCTGGAGCTGGTGGTGTTTCTGGAGCTAGAGAGTCCAGGGCTGGTGCTGGTGCCACTGGAGGCACCACGACTGGGGGTGCGGGTACACCTCCTACAGGTGCTGGTCGTGCTGCCGCAGGGAGTACTCGCTCTGGGGGTGTTCAGCCGGCTACTGTCGAGGGTGGAGTCGGTTCTTCTTCTTCTTCGTCTCCTGCCACCACTCCTCCTCCTCACCCCTACCCGACTCGTTACCAGGCCCTTCTTCGTCTTGAGCGTGAGGAGCAGCAGCGTTTGGAGCGTGAGCGGATGGAGATTCAGCAGCGGGTGGAGCGTGAGAGGTTGGAGTTGCAGCAGCAGCAGCAGCAGCAGCGGGAGCAGCAGCCGTCGCAGCAGCAGCAGCAGCAGCAGCAGCAGCAGCAGCAGCAGCAGCAGCAGCAGCAGCAGCAGCAGCAGCAGCAGCAGCAGCAGCAGCAGCAGCAGCAGCAGCAGCAGCAGCAGCAGCAGCAGCAGCAGCAGCAGCAGCAGCAGCAGCAGCAGCAGCAGCAGCAGCAGCAGCAGCAGCAGCAGCAGCAGCGGCAGCAGCAGCAGCCGCAGCAGCCGGAGCAGCCTCCGGCCCCTGTTTCTGGCCTTCGGGCCCTTGGTCTCCCCTCCTCTCCTCCTGTGTTCGGTCCTACGTTTCCTCCTCCGGACTCAGCTCCGGCTGTGTTCCCCCATGCCCAGTCTCCTTCATCTCCCTCTCCTCTTACCCACTCTTGGGCCTCTCGTCCTCCTCGTGCTCGTCCCTCGTCACCTGTCACTGACCTCCGTACTGTGTTGTTCCGTCCTAGTCCTCCTCGTTCTCCTCCGTCTGTTCTTCCTCGTCCTCCTGAGTCGTCCCTCATTGCCTCCCTGTCCACTCCGATCACGGACTACTACCGCACGTACCGCCCCACTCTCTCTCGTGTTCTCGCCAATCTTGTTACAGACCCTCGTGCCTCTCCTTCCTCCGTCGCGGTCCTCACTGCCGCTGTCACTGACTTTACTGCTACGCGTCGCCTTGACTACGCCACTCGTGTTGTGGCCGCTCCTCCTGTCCGTCCTCTGTCCGTCGGGGGTGAGTCTGCCCTTGGCTGTGACGTCCTAGAGGACAGACAGTTTGAGCTAGAGTTCCTGGCAGCTGCTTCGCCTCATCTCTGTGCCATGCTCCTCGCTCCTGAGGGAGACCCCGACGCTCCTGACATACCTACTCCTCGCACTTACGCTGAGGCAGTGTCAGGGCCTTGGGTCTCTCAGTGGAGAGCTGCCATGGACGCAGAGATGGCCTCCTACAGGTCCACAGGCACTTACGTTGACGAGGTTCCCCCCCCAGGGGCGAACATAGTTGACGGCATGTGGATCTTCAAGGTGAAGCGGCCGCCGGGATCTCCCCCAGTCTTCAAGGCACGCTAAGTGGCTAGAGAATTCAGTCAGCGCGAGGGGGTTGACTTCTTTCAGACCTTCGCGCCCACCCCGAAGATGACCACTCTTCGGGTGTTACTTCACGTAGCGGCACAGAGGGACTACGAGCTACACTCCCTCGACTTCTCCACCGCCTTCCTGCAGAGCAGCCTACACGAGGAGATCTGGCTGCGTCGTCCTCCGGGCTTCACTGGCACCTTCCCGCTTGGGATCCAATAAGCCTCAGACGACCGGTCTACGGTCTCCGCCAGGCACCCCGTGAGTGGCACGACACTCTCCGCTCTACTCTGTCTGACCTCGAGTTTGATCAGTCTTCCGCCGACCCGTCGATGTTTCTTCGTCGTGGGCGCACACCTTTCTTCGTCGTGGGCGCACACCTTTCTTCGTTCTGGTCTACGTTGACGACTTGGTTTTTGCCACAGCCGACACAGTTGCACTGGCGGAGGTGAAGTCCGAACTGCAGAAGAGACACACCTGCACTGACCTTGGGGAACTGCGCCGCTACCTTGGCCTGCAGATCTCCAGGGACAGAGCCGCTCGCACCATCACTCTGACTCAGTCACACATGGTGCAGCAGGTCCTTCAGCGGTTCGGGCTTCAGCACTCTTCTCCTACACCCACCCCTCTTGCTGTAGACCACAGACTCACTGGGCCTTTTCCTGACGAGCCGTTCGAGCCCAGTGGTCCCTACGCAGAGCTGGTGGGCTGCCTCATGTACCTGATGACGTGCACTCGCCCGGACCTCGCCTTCCCTCTTAGCATCCTTTCTCGCTTTGTTGCGACTGGGAGACACCGTCCTGTTCACTGGGCGGCAGCTAAGAGGGTGGCGAAGTACCTCGCCACGACATCAGACATGGGGCTTGTACTTGGAGGGACACAGCCAGTTGTACTCACCGGTCACTGCGACTCCTCGTACGCCGACGACGTTGAGACTCAGAGGTCTATGTAGGGTTACTGTTTCAGTCTGGGCTCTGGAGCTGTTTCGTGGAGGTCTACTCGGTCCTCCTCTGTTGCGACTTCTACCGCAGAGGCCGAGATCTACGCTGGAGCCCTTGCTGCACAGGAGCTACGCTGGTTGACCGTCTCCTTTGTCGTGAGCCTCGACTGGAGAGCAGAGTGAAGCACATCGACGTCAGGTACTTCCTCCTTCGAGAGTTGCAGAGACGCGGTCAGGCACGTCTGGACTTCGTGGCCTCCGAGGCCAACACTGCAGACATCTTTACCAAGGCCCTTCAGCCTCGTGAACACCGCCGGTTTTGTCTGCAGTTAGGCCTCATTGAGACTGGGTCTAGTAGACTGCAGTAGTGAGTTCTTGCCTTTTGTTTGTTTGTACCATATATATATTAGCTTGTACACTCTTGAACTGGCCTTGAGGCCTCTTGTTTGTGCTCAGTCTGTATGGTGACGTTGTGATCCACCCTGAGCTTTGTTTTCTCTCTTGCTTGTGACTGGTCTTGTGACCTTAGGTTGCGTTTTGTTGCTTGGCATTCCCCACTTAGGCTATGGGGGTTTGTCAAATGTTATAGCCTCTAGTGGGTTATGCTATATGGGGTACAAACAGTTAGGGTTAGGCATTTGCACCCCACCCAATGCAATCCGATCATTCCGCTGTTTTCACTTTGTGAGAGGTATGTACTTGTTCCAGCGTAAAGAAGCTCGTCTACGTAGGCAACGAGAGTATAGCCCCCATGGTACTCAAGGTGGTACGTGCATTGATCGTAATGGAGCTGTTGTAATTCGAGCTTGATCAGGGTAACGTGTAAATACTGATGCCACAGGCCCGAGGCTTGCGTTATCCTCTAGAGAAACTTCTAGAGGAGACACACTATGAGGCATCTTCTTCATACATGAGTGGCTAACAGAGGTTGTGTTTGTTAGAAGCATATAGTTTGCGCTTCTGATGTGTCAAAGTACTACAATGTAATGCGAACTACAAGCGAAGCAACAGCGAGTCAACCGAACCGGTTGACAAAAAACAACAGTAAGAGGTTAAGCGAAGGTCAAAGGTCAGCGACCTTTGACTCGCCAAAAGCAGCGCGACAGCAAGGGCACAGAAACTGGTTCCTTATGGAGCAGTTCCCCGAGTCGTCGCTATATCGAACCGCAACAGCGATAACAACACCAGTGGTTTAAATCTTTCATATTCTTTGTAACCATATAAAAAGCTTTGTATTTCCTTGCTATAATAAACTTATCTTGTACTCACATACCAGTACAAGGTGGGTCAATCAGTTTACTAAGACGCTTCTGCTGATACATCACTATCCCACGTCTTAGCCTTGAAAACGATCCTAAGGGCTTCTCTCGGCCCAACATGGTATGAGAGCTAGCAAGGCAGATACAAATCTTTTCAACCTCCTACAACAACAGAAGGCATGGCAACAAAGAAACAAAAAAGTTCATTTACTGGATCTCCCGGCACTACTCCCATTCCACCTCCAGGCTCTGGGCTACAGACAGAGAGAGGCTCAACTCAAAGACCAGCTGCTGAATCTACTGAAGCGCTAGTTAATAAAGCAACCGGCTTCGACCTGACCATGATGGAGAAATTCTTCTCCTTCATGTCGTTCTATGAGCAACAGCAACAAGCGACACCTGCACAGTCAAACAACAGCGACAACAACAACGACGACGTTACCCTAATGAGTCTTGATGGCTCACCATTTGCGCACGGAAATGAGCAGCCTACCTTTGCACCGTATGAACCTCAACGCGGCTCCATTAGCTTCATGCCAAATTGGCCTCCGCCTGGACAAGAGACAAAGACATTGGATGCACTTCAGGTGCAGTCACAATTTGCACATGTGCTAAAACTGCAAACAACAACACCATTTGACGGGAAGGACTTCTATTCCTGGTCCTTCGAGTTCGAACTGAAGATGGAGGGTGCCCCAATACTTGGCTTCTTCGACGGCTCCCTGCCATACCCAACGCGCGGGACACGGTACGACAAACAGTAGTTCACGTATCAGTCACTAATGGCATACACTATACTCCTGCGAAACATAACGGCAAAAGAGCAGCAAAACATTCGATCTTATCGTGGATACGGTGACTCCGCCGAGCTCGCATATCAAACAGACGACAGCGTTAATCAAAGCCGCCTCATGGCACAATTGACAACAATCCAAATGCAACAGGGCGAAAAGGGGATGGCATATATCAGCCGCTTCCACGGTCTGCATGACAGAATTTATCGATGCGGCGGATCACTATCCAAAGAGGCCTTCGTCACTGTCATCATCACAGCCCTCGGCCCTTGGTGGCGCTAAACTGTCATGATTTTAATTGTAGAATAGAAAAATAGGAAGGAACAATATAAAAGCAAGACAAGGTACAGTAGTTCGCAGTATTATGTCGAGGCAGGCGGGAATCTACAAAGCCAAGGGCGGGGAACCGAGCCGAACTGGCGAAAGCCCACGACCGTTGCGTGGCAACGGTAACCAGGAGCAGATACTTAGGCAAGCATCATAAATGGGATTACTTGCTTGCTTGTTTGTTTCCACTCTAAGCAAAGAATTGTTCCTATTAAACCCTAGAGTTGCGCCAGTGGAGGAGCCAACCATAGCAAGCCTACAAAGTGTGCTGAGACTTCATGTCCGCCAGTCTACCGAGTTAGGTTTCCTAGTCGTGGTCTCCTGACTAGGAACCGCCAACAAACAAGCAAGAATCGTGACCTGTAGTCGCCCAAAGCTACTTAGCAACGATGGCGCCAGCGAGCAACAATACCCCCGGGGCTAAGTGTCAGAATCCCAGCCACTAACCACTGGGATAAAAGGGCTTGTTTGTGTAGCGGGTGAGTGCGTCCATAACCCCCCAGGCCGCCATGCCTGTAACCCTTCCCTAGGATCAATCGGGGATCACCAGTGGACCTCTGACACCCCCCCGCACTGGGATGCCCGAGGTGCACACACCGGGATTCGAACCCGAGACCTTCGCTCTGATACCATGTCAGAATCCCAGCCACTAACCACTGGGATAAAAGGGCTTGTTTGTGTAGCGGGTGAGTGCGTCCATAACCCCCCAGGCCGCCATGCCTGTAACCCTTCCCTAGGATCAATCGGGGATCACCAGTGGACCTCTGACACTAAGGAGTCGCCTGCTCGTCAATCGACGGGACTTGAAAAAACGCCTCGGGAAAACGCCGCTGAAAAAAGAAAGCGCCCTGCCGAGAATCACGCCGAAGCGACCCACACGGGGGTCGACGTGTTGCTCGGTGAGGGCGGAACAGTCGCGCGACCGTCCCAGCCATGCGCGACCCACACGCAGGCTCATGGGCCTGCAGGCGGCGACAATGATGGCGATTTCGTCGCCATCCCTGCCGCCGCTACTGCAGATCCGAGCGGATCTCGCGCCCCCCCGA